ACTACCTTATCATAATAATAATAGCAGAAACAGGCAAAGATTAAAAAGATCCTACGGGTGTGAACGGTATCAAAACAAGTCGTAACTTTAGTAATAACAGAAAATATTGCTATCAATATTTTGTACACAACAACAGACTACCTTATCATAATAATAATAGCAGAAACAGGCAAAGATTAAAAAGATCCTACGGGTGTGAACGGTATCAAAACAAGTCGTAACTTTAGTAATAACAGAATTTATTGCTATCAATATTTTGTACACAAAAACAGACTACCTTACTTGAGTTTCATAATAATAATAGCAGAAACAGGCAAAGATTACAACGTGTGATTGCAAACTAAAATATTATTGTTCGTTTATTAATCAATTTAACGTATTCTATAAATAACGGAAAACCATAAGATATTAAGTTTGGGTGCAAGTATTTATGTCTACGACTCTATTTTGTTGAAAGTGCCTCTATGTCCTACTCGCAATGACATAAATTTATTTTAAATAAACTAAATTTTTTGATGGCGAGATTAAAATTGTTTGTAGTTAAGCACAAAGCCACACGATGGGCTTCCTGCGCTTACCGTGGGGAATTCAAACCCCGAGTTATAAGCCTTCATGTTTCAGTAACATTATTGCAGTTGGTAGTTTGAATATAGTTTCTAAAAGCCATTTATTGCATTTGTAACACAATTTATCAGTATTATGTACAAACTACTGTGGTTGGCTGAAACAGAATATAAACTAATGTAGTTGACATAAAAGTTATCACATAGGTTCATTGTATATGTATTACAGGTGTATTTTCCACAGTTTCTGCAACATTATAAATATAATATATCTCTATTACTGCAAATTCCCAATATAAATTTTCAGATAAAAATTGAAATTCTTGTATAGTGTGCAGTTTATAAATATATCAGTTCGTTAATTATTACTATAACATACGTACTTATTAACACCATACTATTATAAGGTTCTTTTAAATTAGCCAGCGGAAATAATTCAAAGTCCAGTCCACTTTATAGTGCAATTAGTTTACTTCTTCCTTTAACGTTTCTACAAGTATGAACACTTTCACACTTTCATAAATGGCCCGGCATGGCTAAGTGGTTAGGGCGCTCGACTCGCAATCTGCGGGTCGCGGGCTCGAATCCCCGTCACACCAAACATGCTTGCCCTTTCAGCCGTGGGAGCGTTATAAGGTGACGGTCAATCCCACTAATCGTTGGTAAAAGAGTAGCCCAAGAGTTGGCGGTGGGTGGTGATGACTAGCTGCCTGTCTTACACTGCTAAATTGGGGACGGCTAACGCAGGTAACCCTCGTGTAGCTTTGCGCGAAATTCAAGACAAAACCAAACTGTCATAAATTTTTGTATACTTGTGTTATAAATGACATTAACTAACATAAAACAAATCAGGTTATTTGTACAAAGAACCTAAATAAGCGCGATAGTAAAGATGTATACAAATACTTCACGAAGACACACTGACTGATTCAACTCTCCACCTTGAAAAATAACTTTTCACACTTCACAAACTATCCTGTATTTATAATCTTGCTTTGAATGTAGGAGAAAAACTTAGAACGTTGTAGGCCTTCTAGGCATAATTTAACGTTATACGCTCTCTAACTAACAAACAAATTACAACATTAAAAGTATAGCTTACAACAGTAAGATGACATTATGCCAAACATTATCTGTGTAATGGCCTCTTTTATGACAGAAATTATATTCTGCAGACAAATTTATCTTGCAAACTTATCGTGATTAAACTGCTCCCTAATTCATCGACAGCTATATATGTAATGCTAGTTTCTGAAACGTAGAATATCTGCACGTTTCAGATTAATATCATTTAGAGATAATACGTTGTTATCGTCATTTATTATGAAGTAATATTTTGTCAATCATCTCCTCTGACAACTTTAGTATTTTACTATCTCCCATGTTATTTTAACTAGATTTTGCGACAAGTCAATGAAAAGTATGAACTGTGTGTATTAAAACAATAAGATAAATATAGCTTGCTGATGAGCTTTGAAACAAGTAGTGTAGATGCACCATATGTGGGTAGAAATATATCGAATCTGTGTGTTTTGCCAATTTGTCTGTAATGTAAAACATTTTGGTATACTTGGAAGATGTCAAGCTGCTCAATAAATACCTTAAGCAATGTTGAGATTAAATATAGTTTAAATCCACAATAACGGAATAATACCAAATTTAAATGGTATTTTATTTAAAACCTAAATTTTTTGTAGTATTATTGTTTGATTCTCTTTTGAAAACTTCGTTTTTTATTTACCTTTTAAAAGACAGATATTGTCTGAAAATAACTTGTTATTTTTTATTTTTTATAAACTTATATATAAGACACTTGATGATAATTTTTTTGTCATAGTGTTGTATTGAGCCTCGTGGATTGCGCAGATTCTAATTGATTTTGAAAACTTCTTGAACCTTTGAAAATTATTTATATAGGTTTTGTTACCACAATAACCAATGAGAGGATTAAATATTGAAAAGTAGGGGGAAAAAACAAGACCGATAGATATATGATGACGCAAATTCCATGGTATCTTTTCAAAATAATCTTTATCTTGTACCTTTGCCACGAGATGTCGTTAAAATCCATTATATTAATAAGCCAGTGTTACATCGTTTTAATTAACTGTTAAGTTTCGAAACGTGATCTACAGTATATGACATGTTTGGATGAGTATATTATTAATATATAGATTAATGTTTTTAACTGTGGGGAGCTTTTCAAATCTGTTATGTCTAACACGAAAGAAATAATCACCATTCAAATTGGACATTACTCAAATTTTGTAGGAACTCATTGGTGGAACTTACAGGTATAATATATAGTTAACGTAAAAACTTTAATAAAAATCTTATCTAACTTAGTCCTTTGAAGTTCAATATATATTCATACAAATTTCACAACTAGAAATGGAATATCGAGTTATTTTCTGTTAGTGTAACAGTAAACGAGTGATTAATGAGTTTACAGTTCGAGATATTTTTCGTATTAGATGTTTTAATTTTTTAGAAAAGTATAAAAATGGTAGTTATCTAAAGCCTATAGTTTCTAGTTTTGTTGTCAAAGCAATGGTTGACATAGTCTTTATGATCTTGTTTATTTATTCATCACAGACTTCCTTGTTAAATATATCATCCACCCAATATAGTGCATGCATATCTTTTCAATTTGAGTATTTCTAAGTAGAATCATTGCTTGTGTCAAGTAACCAATTGACTTTGATGGATAAAAACAACTTATGGTTATACTTTTCATGAATAATAATTTACTTTTAAAACATTGGTATTTAAAATTAGTAGATAACTAGGGGCATCTGGAATAAAAAAAAATATATCCAAAAGACAAAATGCTAGAAAAATCTATGCATATATAATGTTTTTGCATTTAAGTTCTTCGTATGTATTTGTTCATGTATTTTATGGGTATTTTGTAAATATACCATTTCTTGATGTTAATTTAAAATCTACGTTTAAGAAAAGAGTCCCTTGATGAGACAGTGGTAAGTTTATGGACTAAAAATGCTAAAATCTGAGGTTTGATTCCCCTTGATGGACACAGCAGGTAGCCCAGTGCAGCTGCTCTAGAAAAAAATAAATATTAGGAAAAGAAATGTGTGTGTCTACATACTATTGTATTACTTAATATATTAACAAATATCTCGATTATATGACCATTATTTTGTTGTTATGATAGCATAGGAGACTTGTTATAAGTTTACACTTGTATTTAAAAGTATAGAATTTAGGTGTTGTAAAGAAAAACTTATATGAAAGTAGAATTTCATTTGTATTATTTGATATTATATAGTCTTTGTTTTGTATTGTTGTTTGTGAAGAAGTAAAACATTGTTTTCATAAACGATACAAAATTTTTATATTCAAACTTTGCTTGAATGAAATTATGTTTGAGTTTATGATATTTTTATTTTCAGGAAGCATCTTTTTGCTATGATGCAAGTAAAGTTCCTGAATTGGAGATCAATCATGATGTGCAGTTTCGTGAAGGAAAAACCTTAAGGGTGAATTTTGAAAATTTTTGGGGTATTCTACTTAAAGTTAACTCTCGTTTTTTAAATAAGTGTAATATTTGTGATAAATATTACTTATTTTATAGACTTTTTTCCATATTCATCTTAATTTGTCCATTAAACTTTCAAATAAGAAATGTGTGAAAATAGAATTTGAGGTATATCATTTGTCTACCAGAAGGCCGTTACCAAAATTTCTGGTTTATCAAAAATTAGAAAAATCACAAAACAAAGAACCTTGCATGCTTGTTTTGCCCTCAGAATTGAGATATACATATATCCCTGCAACCATGTTGCCACTGCATTACATGTTTTGTTTATATGACATTATGACCTTTCTTGTATGCATGAGTTCTATATTTTTAATTATGAGACTTTAATACTTTGAAAATTGACTAAGAGAGAGATTTTGTGTACCATTTTTTTTTCTTTTAATAACGAATTTCTTTCTGTGAATAAAGCAAAAACCTTGTAAAATATTTAAACAGCCTTAAATAACTATTGTAATGCAGGCCTTGTCATGAAGTATAAACTATTGCTCGGGCATGTTATGTAATAAAAAGGCAACAACAATACTTGAAAATTTGTTTGTTGGTGGTGTGCTTTTTTTAAGCATGTAAAATATTTTCTCATTGAAACCTAATAAAAACTTACTATTAATCAAACTAAACTTGCTGTTGTATAAGGCTTTGAAAAATAAAACATTTTTATTGATCAGTGGGACTGTTTCATAAAAAATATTCAACACTTAGTTTTCTCTCTCTTTATTTCACATACATAATCTCTGTTTCCAGATTTCTCAGGTGATAGTTTAAGAGGATCTGAATCTTTGATTTGTAATCCCCACTAACCACTACTCACTTAAATGGTTCATTGCTGTGTTTTCAAATTTTGTATTTAAAGACTGTAAAACTACTTACTAGAGAAAGGCATATGCATTTATGAGGTAAAATGTATACAAAGGTTCCATACTGACTTAACTCTAGATTCGTTTTACATATTTTTTCTTTTCCATTAATTCTTTTAAGATATTATATCTTAATTAGTGTTAAATTCTTTTGTTTGTAAATAATTGATAAAATTATTGTTTATATGAAAATGTATGTCATTGTAGAGAAACTTCTGTTTATTTACTGCATCTCTATCTGTAGGGTCACACTACATATACGCCTCGTCTTCTTGCTATAGACACGAAAGGAAGTTTAAAGACTTTGAAGCAAACAGGAACTTTATATGACATTTCTCATACCAAACCTAGCTCTGAATGGTAAATTTATTTTGCACTCTTTGAATTTGCATTTTTATTTTGACAAGTGTTTAAATTTCATATTGTACTTGCAACTAATAGTTCAGTTTATAAAAATCCTGAATTAAGTCTACAGCATATTAATGAAATAAATGTATATTTTTCTCGATCTCATTTATAACTCTACTCGAAGAAGTGTGTGTAAAACTTTACTATATTCTTTCTCTTAATTAGCCAAATACATATAAGCATTAATCAACTCAGTATTATTAATAGAAATAATATTTTTAAAAGAAAGTTATTATCCTTTTTCTTAGGATAAGTTATGTTGGTGATGAATGGATAAAATCTTCACTCTTACTGTTAAGATGCTAAAGGAAAAAGAAAGTGGGAAATTTTACCATATTTTTTGAAATCAGAAATCTTCAATTTTTTCTTTGCCATTGAATTTCATTTACATAGTAAACTTAAAACAAAGAACATACTTGTATTAATAGAAACAACACGATAATACATCAGTAGCCTGATGCTGTTGCTGAAAAAATCTTTAATAAGAAAGTTGTTATATTTCTCTGAATTAAGTTTCAAAAATTCACCATTACCTTTAGTTGGTCATTCATCAAAAATGAGCAGTTTGAGAAAAAGAATGACAGATGTCTGTACACAGTGTATTTATTTTAGGTCATCAAGAAATCAATGTTGTGAATCACCCTGTAAAAAACATACGTCACGTATAATAGTTAAACAAACTAATATGGAAAAGCATCATTGATATGAATGGAGACTATTTCATTTAATAAATGTTTTTGTTTGGTATATAAGTTGTTTGGGTTTATTCATCCAAAAAAAGTGACATTAATTTCTTGATGACCTAATATAAAGATATGTTAGCCTTTCTTCTTTGTTTATTTCAAGTTGTAATAATATGACAGATCGCCAATAAAAAAACTTGGACATCAAAACACTTGAATCAAAATTTAGTAACCCTTTTGTTTGTTTAAGCAGTTTCACCTTTCAGCTTCTTTTTCAATACAGCTGTAATGATCAAAGACATTCTGTATCTTTAGCATTACAAGTATTTAAATGTAGACAAATATAAATAGAGAAATTTTATGCAAGAGTTAACTTAAAGTTTTTGTGTTACTAATGTCATTCCAAGTTATTAGTAACGCTATAGCCATAATTTAACCTTTATCTGTGTAGGTGAGTTGGTTAAATTTAAAAGAAAACAATTATGCAATTTTAGATTTCACATGTAGCATATATAGTACCAAATTTCAATGTGGTAAAAGAAAATCCATAACTTGTAACAAACACTTCAATAGTGAAGTAATGTGACATTAAACATTTTTATATTGTACTTAAGATATTCATACATACATTAAAACATAAAGGTTTAAGTGTTTTACAATTGTATATATCACTTTTGCCTCTCAATTCTCATTTTTAAATTTAAAGATAACATTCACCTAAGTTTATACCTAATCAATACTGCATTGATAATAATATACTTTTAAAGAGCTGAAGAGCTTTGTGAGAAATCCCTTACTGATAGGCAAAAGATCAATAATAGTTTAGTGCAAGATTTACGTTCATTGACGTGGATTAGCTATGTGTATCACAGAAAAGTAAATTCAAAAACATGTATGTGAGGTGACACTTGTTCAGCTATGGAAATCCATTTGTATGTTTTTATACTACTTGTATTAGTGGGATTTTGTGAATTTTGCTTCATCTAGTTGAAGTGTTCAGTTTCTGTTAGGCTAGATCTAGCCTAATAGAAACTGAACACTTCAAAAACTATAAAATATTTAGAATTATTCTTCTCTTTCTAAAAAACAATAGTTTAATCGATATGCTAATACATAATTTATAAATTATGTATTAGCATATTGATGAAACTATTGTTTTTTAAAATGAGAAGAATAATTCTAAATATTTTATAGTTTTTGAAGTGTTCAGTTGCTATTAGGCTAGATAAATTATGTATTAGCATATTGATGAAACTATTGTTTTTTAAAATGAGAAGAATAATTCTAAATATTTTATAGTTTTTGAAGTAACTGAACTAAATTGTTAGAATAAATATTTGTCTGGTGCTACATTGGTAGTGACTACAAATTCAAAGAAGCACAAATGCTTTATTTTGAGTCATACATTGGTATCAAAATACATTCAGTTTGTGTGTGAGCCTGAATTATACTTCCACTATGATCAAGGTTGTTATGATTTTTATATTTGACAGTAATTCAACATGAAATATTTATATGTAATCTTCAAATCTCATCCTTAAGCTTGAGGAAATTCATAAATAAATGAGTCTTTTGCCATAGTCAAAATTTTATTGATAGGCTCTTAATTCTTTTCAAGGTTTTTATCAGTTTTAACTAAATACATGGTCACAGATAAAAAGCTTTGAAAAAATACCATTAATGGATACTTATGACTAAAGACTGGTAACTGTTTGTATGTTTAAGTTAGTGTATTGTATGAGTATTTAAAATGGGAGTACTATCTTATCATGGCTTTCACGAATTACAAAATGTTTTGTTTGTTTTTTAGGGGTGGAAATATAGACATTTTCAAAAGTGAACCAGAAAGAAGAAATGAATTTTTAAAACAAATAGAAAAAAATCAGGTAAAAATGCTTTTGATACTAGTTTAGCTCCACAGAAACCCACATTTCTTAATTTTAATTGTAATGACTGGCATGTTTTGTGATGAATTTTAAAAGCTTGGCATAAATCTCTATTTTGTTAGTGTAACATCAAGCTTTAGATGTGTTTATGTATTAAAGTATGAATTACAATATATAAGAAGTACAGATGCATATAACAAGATAACGGGAAAATGCTTTTAATGATATGGCTGAAATATGTGTACAGTCTGGCACCTGCAAAAAGACAATGTCCATAACTGAAGCTATCACACCCACAGCACAACTGACATTACTTCTAAAAGCTTATCTAATCCTTGTAGATTTACTAAAACTCATCATATTATGTAGGAGAATCAAATTTTACTTCTTGGTTGTAAATTCAAATTATTTAATATTTTATAAATCCTTTTTCTAAAATGTCACCTTTTTTTTTTCTTCCTCAAATTTTGCTAGCACAGAATTAATGTGGAACCTTGGTTGTTACCCCAGAACACCTGTATAACACAACAAAAATTGTCAATTTGTTCAGCTAATTTTGGAAAAGTGGATTAACTTTATTATTTCTATGGATCACCATTCTCATTGGAAATGCACTGGAAACTATAAGCTTAATATTATTGATAACTTTGTGGATTTAAAGGAATTGGTAATAAATGTTATTTTCACATTTGGAAAGGAAATATTATTGAGAAGAATATTTTTTGTGTTCAATTTTGCTTATTTTGTTCAATGTCAAAATCATAAATGTCAGCTAATGGCTATTTGTCATTTACTATTTTAAAGTCTGGAAATGGGCCTCGTGTTAAGAGTAGGCTACATTGGGGACTACGTAGGGCACCAAATACTCGGAAGCTCCTGTCTAGTAATATATTGAGAAAAATGTGTTTTACTGGTTAAAATTTATTACAGACAAATATCTGATATTTCTACAGCTTTAGCTCAACAGAATAATCATTTTTTGTGGGGGCGAGTTAAAGGCTTCAAATAAAATACACGTAAAAAAAAAGTTATTTGTTGTACTCACAAATGCTCCAGGCAACTTGAACTTGGGTAGATGTTGTTCCATAGGCCTTACCAAGTATCACAAACTTGGGTGTCCTAAAAAGAATTCATGTAGCTTTCAGATATGCATTTTAGAACACATAAAAATAATATCAGTCACTAGAATAGAATGTTCCAAAACTACTATAAAGTATTTGGCTTTTTAAAGTAAGTTATGAACAGATTAAAAAATTCTGATATCTGTTTGGAGTAGCAATATAATGATCATGCAGCTAAAGACTGCAGTCAAGTAAGTAACTTGTTCACTAAAACTGAGCAAATAGTAACTAACTTCTTGTACAGGAAATTTTACTTTTCCTATTGACTATAAATGTAGTTCATTGGCCTTGTAAAGTTGGTTATGAATCAATGTTGAAAGTCAGAATGAGGTGGGAGGTGTTTCATCAATGGGCTTAATAAATGTTTTAACATCTTAGTAAATCAAGAAGGTAAGTGGTGAAAATTTTAGATTATTGCTTTTAGTTATGCATAATTTGTTTTCTAATTATTTGGATATTGTAACAGTCTATATTTAACGTTACAGAATTTTGAAAAGGAGAAGAAAAGGAGAATGTATTACAGATAAACAAAGAATGATTATTTTTTTAAATGTTCTTTTGGAAATTAAGAAGTTAAAACTCAGATAATATAAAAATTTGAATTCCAGACTACTGTTTGGTGCCAAGATTACTGACATATATTGATAGTAAAGTGGTTTAATTAAACTTTGAATGTAACACTGTAAAATATTATAACATGTGCACTTTGGCCTAGCCATTTCATATAACTGTTCAGTTCTTTAATCTCATGTCATATACAGTCGTTGTTTTCTAATCCAACAGAGGTCATGCTACAAAGATACTGAGTGCTGTGTAAATTTTGATGAAGAAAAGGATACTTGTCAAGGTAAGCACTTAAAAGGAATACTTTTTATGTTAATATTTATAAATGATTTGTTTTAAACCTCTTTTAGGTCAAGTCATAAGTTTTGTAAAGGGGCAGTAAACGAAAATGTGCCCATGTATAGAAGCAGCAGCACCATACTTATAGTAATGCAAAGTAATGGTTAAAATTGCTGTAAGGAGAAAAGAATTGTGTGGTTAATGTTTTGGCTAAATGACCTTATAATGCTGAAAAAACAATTTAACCATGATGTGAGTGTCAGAATTTCCAGTTTAAAAATTGCTCTGAAATGGGTTTTTGAGAAATTAATGAATTTTAAGTTGTGGAGACTCAATTGAATTTATTGCTTTTGTATTAAGTAGTATGATTTGTTACTTGTTAAAAGTTAATTGAAAAAAAAACATTATTGCTCAAATATTTTAAAGAGAGGTTTCTTGAATAATAAAACTTGTAAGGGACGTTTCTGTCAAAAATTTAATAATTTTGTCTCACAGAATAAAAAAAAAGGATGATTCTAGTAAACTTGATTTACAATAAATGATGAAACACTTGAGAAACAGTGTTCAATTATAATAATCATGACTTCCACCTCATGTTTCCCACAGCATGCATTGTGCTCTATACAGTACATTGTTCAACAACTATTATAATCATGACTTTCACCTCATGTTTCCTACAGCATGCATTGTGCTCTATACAGTACATTGTTCAACAACTATCATAATCATGACTTTCACCTCATGTTTCCTACAGCATGCATTGTGCTCTATACAGTACATTGTTCAACAGTTATTATAATCATGACTATCACCTCATATTTCCTACAGCATGCATTGTGCTCTATACAGTACATTGTTCAACAACTATTGTAATCATGACTTTCACCTCATGTTTCCTACAGCATGCATTGTGCTCTATACAGTACATTGTTCAACAATTATTATAATCATGACTATCACCTCATGTTTCGTACAGCATGCATCATGCTCTATACAGTACATTGTTCAACAATTATTATAATCATGACTTTCACCTCATGTTTCCTACAGCATGCGTTGTGTTCTATACAGTACATTGTTCAAAATTCTTATATACTCAGTTCCATGTGTGAATAATTCTGAATAATTACATTCATTATTTTTATGAACATTTGATAGTAAACATGAGGTGCAATATTTTATTTTATAACTTTTTAGTCAAATTTTTGAGATATCTGACTTGTTAAGTACTTATTCTATTACATTTGGTACATGTCTAATTAGATGCATTAAAGTTGCTTTTAGGAGTCCATAGACAGTTTTTTATGTATATTTCACACAGATATTGTGTTAAATGTAGTGTTGGAGCTTTATTGTTTTCTTCAATTTAATGTGCAAGTCTTCAGTGTTAATGAATTTATCCAAACATACCCACACACACACACACAGTATTTCCATAATACCTTGCATTGTAACTTTTGACTGTATAATGTACAGAGGTTATATTCAGTGCTCTACAGGAAACAGTTACTTATTCCAAGCTTTCTACTGTTTTAAATATGAGATTGTATGATAAACATGAGGTTTTTTTGTTGTTGTTTCCACACTGCTTCATAAAACAGAATGGGGAATATTTGTTAGCCCTTATACATCATTCTGACCTTGTGGACAGGATGTTTCAAGACTTTGACCTAACTTATTCAACAGGTACTACATACAAAATTCTAAACCTGATTAACTTTTGAAGGTCAAGATCAAAAGGTCACTGGTACATAGAAAGTCTCCCCCAACCTTATGGACATATTTCATTACAGGATGAATGGATATTGACCAAACTATTACAACAGGTACTACATACAAATTTCTAAACCTGATTAACTTTTGAAGGTCAAGATCAAAAGGTCACTGGTACATAGAAAGTCTTCCCCAACCTTATGGACATATTTCGTTACAAGATGAATGGATATTGACCAAACTATTACAACAGGTACTACATACAAAATTCTAAACCTGATTAACTTTTGAAGGTCAAGATCAAAAGGTCACTGGTACATAGAAAGTCTTCCCCAACCTTGTGGACATATTTCATTACAAGGTGAATGGATATTGACCAAACTATTACAACAGGTACTACATACAAAATTCTAGATTGATTAACTTTTGATGGTCTTGGGTCAAAATTCAAGGTCATTAAAATTGGGGGACATAAACATACACTATAACATTAGTGGGAGCATAAGTGTTTCATAAGCACAATGTGCACTTTTTATTTTAATTTGAATTAACTGTAATGTATCTGTTACACTTATTTTTTTGGTGTGTATTTTAACTGAAATTTGTATATATTTTTTACAATAAAATCTAATTTCAGTAAAATTTTGATATGAGCTTGTTCATTCTTTTAGTGGTTTTTACCTTACCTGGAAAAGTTTTAATTATTGTTGTAGATTTGTGCTTATGTTTCAATGAGTCCATTCCACAACAACCTGGAAAAGTTTTAATTATTGTTGTAGATATGTGCTTATGTTGCAATGAGTCCATTCCATAACAACCTGGAAAAGTTTTAATTATTGTTGTACATTTGTGCATATGTTGTCATTAGTCCATTCCACAACAATCTGGAAGAGTTTTAATTATTGTTGTAGATTTGTGCTTATATTGCAATGAGTCCATTCCATAACAACCTGGAAAAGTTTTAATTATTGTTGTAGATTTGTGCTTATGTTACAATGAGTCCATTCCATAACAACCTGGAAGAGTTTTAATTATTGTTGTAGATTTGTGCTTATGTTGCCAGGAGTCCATTCTACAACAACCTGGAAAAGAGACATAGTCTTCATCATATACATGGTTCTAAATGCTATTAAGGTGACAACAGAAATTTTCAGTAAGCTTCAGACAGTGACATATTTTACAATGGGAAGATGTAAGATCTGGCACAAAGGTGAAGCTCATACTAATGCTCGAGTTTTAAGAATGACCTTATTTCCCTTAATTGTTAAAACTGAAAATGTAGTTTCAGTATATCCTAATAGTGCATAAACATAAGTTCAAAATAATGAATTGTTACAAATTCTTGGCACTTTATCACTGACTGTGGGTGTTGTCTGTAGATATTGATTGCTTGCTAGGCTGTAAAATATGTTTATTGACCATAAAAAATAGTAGTTTTTGTTGTTGTTGATAAAGCATTAGACATGGAAAATAAATTAGAAATTGTTAGCAAACATAATTTTTTTTTTTACAGCAAAGCTTTATATAATTTCTTCCAGTATGAATATAAATTAAACATAAACCAGCTCAACTACATTGTGTCACGCATTGTATTATTGTAGCACAATGAAAATTTTTTACCCTGCAAATTATGCACACCAGCTTCTAGTGAAAATCTTAATGGGTGGTTTCAGCTTAAGCTCTTAGCATGTTGAATTGTACATATGCCTGTTTGAAAAGCTAAGAGAGAAGTTATTTAATTTATTTTCAGCAATTGGTTTATGTTGGATATTGAACAAATCTCTTACTTAAAGATGAAACAAATCTGTGTACATACAGATAAAAACATTCTTGTCTACCTGTCATCTTACAGTGGAATTAGTTAGGCATACAACATTCACCAGGGTGTTCCTTTCATCTCTTTGTGGAATATTGCTAATAATAATAATAATAACTTCCAATCAGAGTAACATTCACCTGTCTATTGTTCCTGTTTTCTTCCTTTGGAATATAGTTATGCATTGCAATTCACCTATATAATAATTTTCACTATCCCTGTCTAATAGTCATTGTGTATTTTAAAGGTGTATTTGTCCATATTAAAAAGTTATGTACATATAATTTTCCTTTTTACATGGTACAACAATTGATGATGTACTGTTTTCTTAAGTTAAACGTTAAGATGAAAAAATAAACAAAAATGATTTTTTTTTCAGCCAAATTCTCTTCAGCAGTACCTGAAACAGCATCTTCAGAAGAATTTGGACTGAAGACTTATAATTTGGATAATGGCGTAGAAGTGTGGTCAGATTTTCTAAAAACTCAGTTTCATTCTCGGAGCATTTGTCTGATTGATGAGTACTTCCATGACAGGTTGGATTTTTGTTCTTTTAAGAATAATGGGTTAAACACACAGTTCTTCAGTTTTTATGAGAAAAATATGGAGCATGCTTTAACTTAACTCTTATTAGTTTTAATTTTGTTTTTAATGTGTTTATTGAGTTAGTTTTAAGATGCATAGTAATGAAATATATCATGAGAAGTTTTTATGTTCTAATGCAACAAAACATCTTTCAGAAAATTTTACAAGTAACTTTGGGCTGAGCTCAGCCTAGTGGTTAGTACCTCAAGAGTGTTGTTGACTAGCTATCTTCCCTCTAGTCTGTAAGATCAAAATTAAGGATGACTATGCGCTATTTACATAGCATTCTGAAGAAGCAAACAAATAAATTTCCTTTTGAAGTTAAAAAAAATATCTTAACTCATAATTAAAGTACATGTATCTCTTATTATAACCAGATTTTGTTTTTATTCAGGCCAAAATCAAAACGATTCTCTTTCAAAAATTGTTAAAAATGATAAATATTTTGGTACACATTAATGAATTGGAAAGAAACTTTACTTTCAACAGTGTGTTTATTGCAGTGAACAAGATCCATTTGATCTATTTGGCCTTGGAGTGCAAGTGATGTCCTCTGAGAACTACTGTGATGAGGTTGAAAACAGGTTGCGTTTATTTTCAGAAGAGTGTGACTTTCTTCAAGTGAGACTTACATATTCACTGTTGCATTTTATACATCTGTATTAAATTTGTCTTCATTACCAAATGGATGTCAGACTGATCACAGAAACAGACTTTTCCTATTTACAAATACTTTTAATAAACAGCAAAGTTTTAAGTTATAAGGAGCTTTGTAAGTCATTAAGAGTATGACAGCCTTTTGCTATGAGTGAACTTTAATCAAGAGTCCAAGGTCTGAAGATTCTGTAGTAATGATAGAGAAATCATTATATGAAATATTGTAAATAGTTATTTAATCTTTATATTGAAACAAATGTTTAATGTGGAGGCTAGGTCTATATATTAGTCTGAGCTGAATTGAGAGTAGAAGTTTTTTATTAACGAGAATAGTTACTTTTCAGTTTGTAAAGTTTGTGAGCCTGTAAACGGAAGGCAGATAATGATGAAAACTTTGAGGAAAGCGTGCACAGCAGCAGGTAGCTGGGATTTGTTGCTTAGAAATTTGCAAGTAATGTTTATTAGAAACTCAGTTGGATAGCCATTGTTTAACCCTCTAGCTACAGACTTGGTCAAGTTGACCGACTTCATGACCCCAAATTGATGTAGACGTAAGGTACAGTCTACTCACGAGTGGCTCATGAGTGTACCTCTTGAAAATTTTTTATTCTTGTTATTATTCTTTATTTAATCTAACCCAACCTTATCTAACTTTTACAATTTAGTTACTTTTATAATAATAGATAAAGAATACACATGAAAAACAAAAACTATAGTATTTACCTAGGTCCTTTTTTTTGCTATTGACTGTCAATGAAATTTGACCCTACTTTTTTATACTACTGGTACTACTGCATTAAGTGATTTTTTATTTAACTAAATAATGCACATAAGAACACAGAATAATAACATGTAGACAGCAATGTCCTATAACTCATAATTTTTCTGGCTTTCTAACTATGCAATAAGAGCCGTTAAAACTCGTCATAAGCTCGTCAATGTGTTTCCAGTGGAAGTAAAGTTTGAACTGGATGTGAAATAGACAATTCTCTGTACATAAAGTAATGTATTATAATATGTCATTTGTTAGATAAAAACTTTCATTTGGTTATAAATAATGTAGTATTAAACATCAGAGAAAACTATTAGCAATTTGTGAAAAAGAGGATGTGACAGGTGGATGTAGCAGAGGGGTCTGATTTTCTAGTTTATGGTTCTGTGACCAAATGAGATTGAAGACTATAAAAAGTATGCTTTGCCTTAGTAAGAACAATATTATAGCAAGTAATTTATGTTATATTGTGTACTTCTCGGAGGGTTTGTAGATAAATTATAGAAGAGGGAAGACCTAGAGAGCAAATGTCATAATTCTCATACTAGTGGAGATTCTTATAGAATTAAGAATGTAAAAACATATATAATATTAAACTTTGGAGAATTAGCGAAATTTTGATGCCAAGGTTATCCATATACCATGATAAAAAACCAATTTAATTAAATTTTGAATGCAACTCAGTAAAACCTCATGAAATGCACAGAAAACTAGGCCCTTATGGAAAGAGTTAACAGGTGTTTGTGCAGAAATATAATTTCTCCATGCAAAATAGGGTAATTTGTACCAAGACTAAAAATTCTATTCAATATGGCATGGCTAGATGTTGTTTAAAGAAATTGGAAATAAAGCTCTTAAAGTTAGAATAAAGGCCTGTAAAAGTACTTTTATGACAACTTTGGTAATCTTGATGTTAAAAAATGGTAAATATTCATTTTCTTTTTTTAGTTCAGATGTTAACTTGATATTGTAGTCTTGGGAATTCAGGTCAGTAAAAAATTTAGAAATCTGACCAGATTGTTAAAACAGCAGAAAAGTATAGTGTTTCTACAGGACAGGTTTGAATTCACATGGGCAGTTTTCAGTCAAATGTGTTCATGGTAGCATTGAAAACTATTGCCTATTGTTGGGCCCTGTGAGGATCCCATGGCAATTTCGTCTGTCTGATCATAAATGAGTGTATTAAAGAGGAAATGGGTGTAAAGTTCCAAGAATTGTTTACATCTGAAACCAAGATACTGCTGAGTGTCAGAAGAAAATAGAAGGTTCACGATTAAATTTAAAGTTTCATCAAGGGTAACATTAGTATAGAGAGATTCAATACCAAAACTGGTCATAACAGCAGAGGGAATTTTAGAATTTCAGAAGCAAGGGTAAAAGTAAATTTATTTAAAGTAAGGGGTTTAAGAATGGGAATGATAAATTTAGAGAAAGTATAATGGCAGGAGTCTTGAGCTGAGAGAATAGGATGGAGAGGATAGCCAATTTTGTGCACTTTGAGTAAGCCATAAAGAATACAGGGTTTTGTGCCACGTGGGGCAGTTTGGTGGAAAGATGTTTCAGTGATAATATTTTTATCTTGAAGGGTTTGGAGAAAACATAGGATCTTATCTTCCCTCTTGAAAGTTAGGAATAGCAAGTCTGTGTCTGTTTTTTTTTTAAATTTATGGTGGTCACTGAGCTGGTAGTTCATTTTATTGATATAATCAGCTTCTCTCATAATGACAATACTATTATTATTTATATCACAGTTTTTGTCAGTAAAACCTTTTATTTTTTTATTTTCTTTACCCTCGTATCATATTAACTTGTTCCATTTGACTGACCCTGTAACCACCACCATAAAAAATATGAAATAAGTCTAAATTATCCTTTTTTTTCACTCTCTAGAATGACAGTAGATTGTAACAGAAAATTACAATTTATCCTAAACAGCCTCAAGCTTGCAACAAGCTGTAGAAAACATGACAAACATATAACTCAAATTACAGTATTAAATTACATAATACATGTGCCACTCAAGTGAAGTTTCTTGCTGATTTTTAATTTATTCCTTTTTTCTAATTTAATACGTTTCTGATTTTTACATTGTTGTTAATTTTATAACAATGAATAAAATAACATACATAAACAAGTAATTACATCTGGCCTGTTTTTTTTTTTGTTTTGTTTTGTTTTTTTTTTGCTCTCAACCCTAATGAAACTTAACCCCACTATTTTTGTAACAATGGTAGGGGTACAGAAATAATTTTTATTTATTTTAAATATCCAAATAAAAACACAAAATAATAAGATGCACAGAATATACAATGTTCTATAACTATTATAACGTAACTGGCTTTCTAACTGAGATATAAGTGTCTTGAAGTAATTCACTTACCCAGTCAATGTAAACTTGTCAATAGTAACAACGAATCTGTAGGCTGAATAATTCAAACACTGTCATCAGGATGAGTTAGCCTTATACAATATAAATAAATTAGAATCTAGACTGTAAATCTGAGGATTCATGGTTTGCATCTTGTTACTGCAAAAAATTGCTCTACACTTTGGGGCTGTGGGTGCACTGTAAGAGTGATGGTCAAACACGGATAGCTTTTGTATAGCTTTGCACAAAATTATAAATTAAAAATTATATGGGTTGGGATTTACAGTGAAAGCTGAAGAATGCAAGCTGTGAGCAGTGTGAGAAATTATAATATATATCAATTGTTGTTTTTTGTTGATGTTCTTGAAGTTGTACTTAATTATGAGATTTTGGATGTTTTTTTATTGGTGTAAAGATCTTTTTGTGTGATATGTTTAATCATCAAAACTGTGATCATTATCAAAAGTATGTTTCTAGCTCCATATAAATTACTCACCACGTATGCTAACATTAGTAAAATAATCATGAATTTGCATTATATGTTACAGACAACAGTGCTCCTTGCGACAGTGAAAACTAATGCTGTAATAATACTAAAGAATGCTAATACTAAAACATTATTTTATATTTCACAAAATCTTTAAAGAAAAGAAATTGAGCAATTAAAAAAACTATTTTATATCTTTAAGAGAAATGTATTTATTTTTAAAAAATTGCAAAAGTATGAGAGATGTTTTTACTTGGTTAATCCATGTAAAATTTATTAATATGTTTTCTCTAGTGGTTAACATGATTAAAAATGTACATTGCCACTAAAACTCTGTAGTAATTTTTGGATAGCATATTGAGTTCAGTAACATGTTTCAAGTGCTAGGATTACTGGTGGAATTCATATGTATCCCAGCAGCCTTATGAATTTATTTCTCTGAAATTATTTATGCAACAAATTCTTTGTGTGCCCATGACTTTGTTAGTTATAGAGTCCTTAATAGCATAAGTCACACAAAAAATATATATTAACAAAAATAGCATCAATGTTGCATTTGACCTTACTAGTTACAGCCAGAGTTTTCTGTGTATTTTATGTCAAAATTTTTGATTTTATCCAATTTTTTGGGGGTTAGTTCTTTACAATCAAATTACTGAGTATTATGTGATTTGTTGATCCCTGTTGGTAGTGAATGGTTAAAAAACAAGTTAGTAATTTAATGGATAATAGATGTATGTAAAATTACAACTTATGATATTTGCTAATACACTGTTTTGTAGTAATTGCTTAGATTCTTTTGCCATTTGGTATAAAGAAATATGAAAGCGTTTTGTTGAATTGCAACATTTACAATGTATGTCTCTCTCCTATAATGGATATATCAGATGTGTATAATCACAGTATATCCAGCAGTTCTAAAATTCCTAGTTTTTTCAAATCCTACCAACAAATCCCTCATATTTTACAATACCTTTAGAGCAAATATTAATTTGTTTCAGATCATATTAGGTAAAGAAGATTTATGATCCTGATATACAAGAAAAATAATCTTGTTTATTACTAACAAGTATTTTATTTAAAAATGTTTTTAGTGTTAACCATAAGAGTGTCAGTCACTATGTTAAACTGGATATTTGCCCTAAGTTTTCATGTATGTTTTTTGGAACATCTCTGAACTTTCAGTTAAATTACCCTGAATGTATTTCACGAAGTGCTTTTCTGACTGTTAAGCCTATAATTAATATATTTTACTTAAGTAAATTTTTAGTAATCATTATTTGTTAATTCTGAGGGATGATACATTTACAAAAGTTCTTGTTTTTGTGTTTAACATTTTTCTTTGGGGAATTAAAATCTACATTAACCAAATTTCACCCAATATTTATATTTAAATATTAATTTTATGTTCTTTTACAGGGCTTTAACATTCTTTTAGATGGGTATAATGGGTTTTCGGGTGTGGCTGCAGGTATATTGAACCTGCTAAATGATGATTACAGAAACCAAGTTAAGTTCTGCTGTCCTCTTTATCAGCCAGAATACAAAATACTGGGAAATATGGTAAGTTGAAAAAAAAGAAGTGAATTGCAGAATTATGCTGTATTTATATTGAAGTTTAAAACCATCACTAATAATGTGCTCATAAGAAATTTAAATCCATAAATTTTAAAACATTTGTGACTATGACCAAAGTAAAAATCTACCTTCGAGTTTTGTTATAAAGATTTGAAGTTTTTACTTTTTGCTGAATTGTATGTTTCTCCTTATCAAGCCACAGAGAGAAATACATAGGCTTTTCAATGGTAACATCTGTGTATAAAATCTAGTTCTTTATTCTTAATAACTAAAGGAAGTATAATGTCAGTTTTTCATATTTCCTAGATCACAAATTCACTCATTGTAGTTGATTTACCTGATGATGTCAGGTTGTAGCTGTACAAATAACACTGTTTATCCAATAATAAACAATTTTTTTCAATTCTTTGTTCTGTCTATAACTTGTATTTATAGATTTAAAATTTGTATTTATTATTGAATTGTGTGTTTTTCTTTATCTAGTCCCAGAGGGAAGAAGTACACAGACTTTTCAGTAGTATCCTCTGTTTTGAAAACTTAGCAGAAAATAGTTCTTTGTTTTGTCCAATGTCCCTAGGCACCAACCTTATATCTTCATCTTCAGAACCTCTCTCATTTCCTCATCTAAACTACAATGTAAGTCGAGATTGCATTCGTGAAAGAAGATTATTCATTTCCTTTATTGTGTAATGATGTTCATACTTTTTATTTTCACCTCTATTCTGTATTTCTAAAGTTGATATAAACATACCTATCCTGTCAATAAAGGATGTGCATTTTAATACTTTTAGCAGGATGTTTTCTTTAAAGAAATATGAAAGTTATAGTTTTAGTGCATTTACCAAATTTAAACTTTCATAGAGACAGATTAAATTCCCAGTTTCCTGTTTATGATGTTCAGTGGGCTCTGAACTGCTAATGTAAATTTTATCATCATTGTAACTGTGTAATAGTTCTTTGTTGTAGAGACTAGTAACAACTTAAAGTTTGTAGAAATTATTATTTTTTTCTATAAATGTATTTCTTGTATATATGTAACCTGATTTTAAAATGTCAATAATTTAAAAAAGTTTTGAGAGAATTTTAGTTTGTTGTGCTTGTTTTAGAGGAACTATAGATGTTTACATGTACATCTGTACTAATGGTTATCACTTTAGGTGTTTTCTAGAGAAATGTTAATCCGTATTTGGGCCCTCTTTATATGTATAACAAAGTAACTATAGAATCTGCATTGTTGTAAGCTGATTTTATTTATAAAATCTCATATTTATTCCATACTCTCAACTGACTAAATGTTTATTGAATAATTGACTGGTTCTACTCCTATGATGTGCTATGCACAACTTGATCTCTGGAGTGTTAGATTAATGTAATCAAATTTTAAATAGTTTCTGACTTAATATCAGGTGTTTTTAAAGCCAAAACTCAGTATGATAAACTATTACTTGTTACCATTACTTTGTTGTTTTCTTCATACAAAAGAATAGTTTGTCCTTGATAAACCATGTATCCTATAGAGAAAAATAAGACATAAATAGGTAGTACTTTGTTTAAACTGCATATTGAATATATACCAATGTGTAATGCAGTAACCAGAAATGTTTGTTTGTTGTCTTAGAAGTAACAACTAAAAGTTCAAATGTATACATTGAAGTGTTCACTATATAATATATAATCAGGATTTAAAAAGATACTATTTGTTAAAATGATGAAATTTATTTTATACTTATGCAAGTCATGTACATTTCTGAAATAACTTAACTCTGGACATTAAGCACTGTATATGAATGTCTGTAGAATTATAATAGATGCAATTCAACCATAGTAAAATACAAGATGTTTTCCTAATCCCACCTAAACTGTCCTGTCAGCAGTGCATGTTAGTTTGTATACAAACTTATGATTATGGAAGACAGTAATGTACTTTCCCTAACTTCTGTACAGGCTAACAAGTTACCTACTTTCTTTAATACTTCAGTTGTTTTTACAGTGATGTGTGAGGTATTAAAAGTTAGCACGTGTAGTTTAAGGTTATTCTGACATATTTTTAATATCTTTTACAATAATATCCAACTTTTAGTACATTAAGATGGTCTTTAAATTATTCAGCTACTATAGATAACTTGCATCTTCTTTATATTGATAAAGAAACCTAGCAGACTAACATTTCCAGAATATTTTCTAACATGCCAACAGGTTTTCATCAGCCACATCTTTTTCTCTAATTGATTTGATCAAAACTAGCATCATAGAATCTATCTGATTATTTAAAAATTTTAAATTGGCTGAATGCAATAAGTTTACTGACTTGACATTTATTTAAAAGTGTTTTTAGGAAACTAGAGGATTGTAAAACTTGTTAACTTAATTGATAAAATCATGATGAGTTAAAAAAGACCAGAACTTTATTATACATTTATAGCCTGCCAAAAGTAGTGAAATGCATATTCTTTATCAACAAAGTAGGTGTTTGTTCACTAGTATTATCTTTTGTTGTAAAGAATTTAAAATACTAAAATTTATATGGTAATTACATTTCTTTATTTTTATATAATCTAACTATAGGTAATTCTATTTTATAGCCCACATTACCCTATCATACAAGTGCTATCATTACATCAGCCCTTGATACTATCACTCTCCCACTTCGTCATAGGAAGAATGCAGTTCATATGGTTGATACTATAAACACCTTAAATATTCTTGGGAGAAAAGTAAGTAATGTAAACAATAGTGCTATATACATATGTTAACATTTACTATATGGGTGAACAAATACATGTTTTTAATTATTTTTGCAGTGCATGTTTTCATTGAAATTAAACAGTCTTACGTTCGCTACAAGAACTGCAGAAACAAATATTTACACACAATGATAATTTTTTTTTTTCAGTCCATAATTTCTTCAGAGAATCTTAAGAGTTACAAACAGTTAAATCAATTGTAAACTTACAGTAATTATAAAAATATCACTGAGCATTTTCACTTAAATAGTTAAAGTTAGGACACATGTTGAAGGGAAAACTTTTAGTTAGAAATTTAACTCGGTAATTGAAATGTTTGTTTTAATTAAAGCCTTATGTATTTTTTTTAACTTTTTTTTCTTTTGTTGTATATGAGACCATTTTGTTAATATCTTTGGATGTGCCTTTTCAACTATTTTCTATTTTTATTATAGATGGCAACTTTTAGCCTTTGTCTTCCTGTCTCTCTTCCTGAAGAAAGTTACTTGTCAGACATTTGGTTACCTAGTAAAAATAAAAAAAGCATACATCTTCAGTCTTTGTTACCTAACTGTGATATATATGGGTTTAAGACTGCCTCTGAGACAATAGTTTTACGAGGAATTCCATCTTATCTAACTTACAGGTAGTAAATAAACTATCATTGTCTTACTGTAAAGTGAACAGAGTAATACTTTTCTCTGAAAAATTTATTGTAATGCCTTACTTTAGAGAAACTAATAATGTCTTACTTTAAAGCAACTATAGTAATAAAGTTATACTTTACTGTAAAGTGACTAGAGTAATGTCTTACTCTATATTAATTACAGTAGTAACTTAATGTATAAGAACTATAGTAATAACTTATTGTGAAAGAACTATAATAATGTCTTACTGTAAAGCGACTAGAGCAATGCCGTACTGTAAAGTGACTAGAGCAATGCCTTACTGTAAGGCAACTAGAGCAATGTCTTAATGTAAAGTGACTACAGCAGTGTTTTACTGTAAAGCATCTAGAGTAGTGTCTTAATGTAAAGTAACTAGAGCAGTGTCTTAATGTAAAGCAACTAGAGTAGTGTCTTAATGTAAAGTGATGAGAACAATGTCTTACTGTAAAGCAACTAGAGTAGTGTCTTAATGTAAAGTGACTAGAATAATGTCTTACTGTAAAGCGACTAGAGCAATGCCGTACTGTAAAGTGACTAGAGCAATACCTTACTGTAAGGCAACTAGAGCAATGTCTTAATGTAAAGTGACTACAGCAGTGTTTTACTGTAAAGCATCTAGAGTAGTGTCTTAATGTAAAGTAACTAGAGCAGTGTCTTAATGTAAAGCAACTAGAGTAGTGTCTTAATGTAAAGTGACGAGAACAATGTCTTACTGTAAAGCAACTAGAGTAGTGTCTTAATGTAAAGTGACCAGAATAATGTCTTATTGTAAAGCAACTAGATTAGTGTCTTAATGTAAAGTGACTAGAGCAATGTCTTAATGTAAAGCAACTAGATTAGTGTCTTAATGTAAAGTGACTAGAGTAGTGTCATAATGTAAAGCAACTAGATTAGTGTCTTAATGTAAAGTGACTAGAGTAGTGTCATAATGTAAAGCAACTAGATTAGTGTCTTAATGTAAAGTGACTAGAGTAGTGTCATAATGTAAAGCAACTAGATTAGTGTCTTAATGTAAAGTGACTAGAGTAGTGTCATAATGTAAAGCAACTAGATTAGTGTCTTAATGTAAAGTGACTAGAGCAATGCCATAATGTAAAGCAACTAGATTAGTGTCTTAATATAAAGCAACTAGATTAATGTCTTAAGGTAAGGTGACTAGAGCAATGTCTTAATGTAAAGCAACTAGATTAGTGTCTTAATGTAAAGTGACTAGAGCAATGTCTTACTTTAATGCAACGTGAGGAACATTTTACCATGAAAAAAAAAGTTGTTTTTTATACTGTAAAACTGTTGTTACTTCTAGTTTAACAATATGATATATAATAAAGACACTATTAGTACTTAGAATGCCTGTAAGTAATCCACAGATCAAGATTTCTGAAATTGGGACCATAAGAATATTCTATACAAATAAAAGTAAAATATATGAAGATATTCATAAAATATTACAATATACAGCATAAACAAACCAAACATTATTTCAGACCTGATGAATTTGAAACAAAATTAGTAAAATTGTAAGGGATATAACTTATTCTGTTACAATTAAGATTATCAAGTTGAAAAAGATTTGAACATTTACAGATTTATGTTACTATGAATCAAACATCAGTTTACCTAATCTAGAATATGGTGTTTTATTCTCACTGATCAGTTTATTAGGATTCTTACCAAATACTAAACTGAACTAACTTTCACCATACTAATAGCTGGAAGTCCTAGTGGTGTAGATTTTGGAAAGTGTCTGGTTTGGTTGTATACTGTTCTTTGATGAGTATGGTCTACTATTAGCTCATAGATACGAGTAGAGGTTTAGAGTGGCAAACATAACATGAGGTTCAATCAGCTTGGATCCAGTTATTGTACTGATCTGTAAGAAGTCATTGACATCCAAATTAACTCCGTTGTGGATAATATAAGCACAATGGACAGTTGAATTATTGTCTTATAAGAGCCTGTGTTCATCAGGGTGGAAACACAGCATTGTAGGCTGGATACAATTAACAACCAAGCTCATGTTCATTGAGGTTGTTATTTGCTCATCTAAGGTAATTAAAAGAATTCCATTGTGAGAACAACACAAGAGTGGTTGAATACCTTGTGATTTTTCTCCATAATCTTACTCTAATGTTAGTAGAAAAGAAGGTGAAACATCTCATCAGCTCACGTTACATACTTTCAGTCATCTGTTATTCACATTCTGCTCTTTAGACACCAGTCAGTCTGTGTTGTTGTTTTTTTCTGTTTTCTTTTGAGATAAGCAGTTCTTGGACTGTCTGCTTACTGGTATACGTTTTTAATTGTCCTTCATTTCATACAGTTGTGGATAGAAAAATCTTAATAACTTTTGAAGGAATCAATCAAAGGAGCCAGTATCTCACAAGTGATCACATTGTATAAGTCATGTTTCTCTTTGTTTGTCATCAGGCACAATTTTCCTACTGACTAATATGTTACCTTTTGTTAGACTTTAACAGGTATCTTTGAACATCTAGAGGAGAACCTACTTTTATTAATAATTTCTTTTTGAAGTAAGAGAGAGATCCCTGCTCTTAACAATTTTCTTGTCAACTAACTATGGTGTTTAACGCATCTCAGCATTCATACAACCACATAGCACATCACATGGTCAGTCTATTTTATTTACACAAGTAAATCCAAGATTCTACAAATATGTTATTAGGGCATTCTAATTAAAGCGGCCAGACAGTATATCATACATTTATAGGACAATGAACTATTACAGTGTAGTAATCAACACTTCATTTGCATACACAATTCAGAAATTTTATATTATAGAAATTAAAATTACAATAATTGGCAATAAAACTTTTGTTTATAATATTCCAGACCCTCCTTTCCAAGCCATCAACAGACTACAAGGGAAGAGCTATTAAGTTTCTATTTAAATCAGTGGTATCCATGCCCTATGAGGTAAAGAATTATTAGATACAGAGCTCTGTGTGTAATAATGCTATCAATGGTATTCATACTTTTTGGTTTCTCCTAATAGAAAAATGTCTGTTTTTGTCACTTTTTTAAAGCCAGAATATAATGAGAAAAAATAAATACATTACCACCAAACTAGTATATTTTCATTGAGTAATAATATAAGTGTTCAGGTTTTTAAATGATCTAAAGTGTTTTTACCCAGTAAGCAATGAAACAAAGGCAAATTTCATCTCTACATTTGTTTTACAAAAATGCTTTCTGTTCTTTGTACATTGTAAGAAATATTTAAGTTGGATTGTTTGTCATGTATTATGTTTTAAGTCTATTTCATAAAAGTGGATTTAAAATATATTAGATAGATTTTTGTAATTAGCCAGATAAAACTTTTTGATTTTGGTAATATGTTTTTTAAATGAATATGACTTAAATTGAACTTTTTTATTATGTATTATATTTACTAAAAGGCTCTCTTTCTATGCATTATACAAGTTTTTAATTTATTCTTGAAAATCATGTGTGTTTCATTATCCTTTAATATTCCTTATATTATTGACCAAGTACTGTTAGAAAAACAGTATACTTGTCATTTGTAATTACAGGCTTTCTAATGAGAATACAAGATAAAATAATGTGTACTAATTTATTTACTGTGAAGTTAGATATTAAAATGGACTTGTTTATTGGTTTAAAACAGTTTATTGCTGCTGTATGTACATTTTTCTTTGATCAATAACCAAACTTACGTTTATTTTCAAAGCCCAGTTCTTACTTGTTTTTGTTTTTTTTCTATAGAATGAAAAGTTTTTAACAATAAAATAAGATGTGCTTAATAAACCAGTATATTTTAACAGCATTATAAATACACTGAATGAACCATGTAAAGTCACCGTTCCATTTCCTCACATCTTCAAGCCAGAAATCACTTCAGAAGGATTTCTTAGCTCTAAAGTTAGAAGAGCACATCAGAGTAAGAAACTTTTTATTATCTGTTAGAAATAATACTATTTTATTTTGTCAAATAGGAAAATGTAATAGTGTATTAGATTTCGTAGCACTTGTGTGGTTTGTATGAGGTAAAATTTAAATGAAGTTTGGTTAATTTTATATTGAGGATTGTAATAACAACATTATTTACATCCTGGTACAGCATTTTGAACAATCTGTTCTTTTTGAAATTTCTTAATATGTTTGTGGAATGGAAAGTTTATTTTACAGACTGTACCTAGAATAACTATTTTATAAAATACATTATCAGTATTGTTCAACATATGTATTCAAGATTTTTTAAGTGTAGTAGTACCTTAAAACTGATGTTTTAGATTGTCATTATCACTTTCTTGAAAGTAAGTTCACTATATTTTAGTTGTTTTGTTTCACTTCTGAAAGTGGTTGTTTTAAAGATGTTAGTTACTCTAACCAGCTGTTTAAAATCAACAGGTGTTGAAAATGTCCCAGTTATGGCAGGGTTACACAGCTCAAATAATATTTCAAGGCTTTTGGAAGAAATAGTTCAAGAAGCATCCAGACGAAACATTTACAAGTACCATCGCTGTTGGGAGACTGGTTCAGAGCCAGATGATCTAACTGAGGCCCTACACAACTTAGAGACTTTAGCTATGAATTTCTCTGACAGAAATGAGATAAGTTAAAGAAGATAATAAACTCAAAAACTGTCTGAAAAAAAAAGTATTTGAAAAAAGTTTCTGCATATTTCTTCTGTAAAGAGAATTGTGATTGTTAGATTAGAAAGTGTCTGAAATTTACAACTATACCAAAAATAGCATAAAACGTTAAGCATGGACAGCCTTAGATAGGTGTAAGTTTAAAAACTCATGCTGAAAATGGTAAAATTAATGTGGATTATTGTTCATGACTAATCTGTCAACCACTGCCCCTTATATGAATCTGATAAAGAAAACTTTAATTGAGAAAAATAAAATACCTCATAACGTCTAATGCTTCAAAGTTTAATTCAGTATATCTTTAACACTAGAACAGCCAGTGATTCACTCGTACTTAGAACTGCCATAATGCTGTCATTTTGATGGCTACATACTATAGTGTCACTATTAAAATGAAAGACAAATTATTGAATACAACTCAAAAGTTTTATTTTGGAACATCAAAACAAGCATAATAACAGTAGGAAAATAAAAAGTTGTGCAAAAAAACAACACTTCAATAACTTAAATGCTACAATAAAATATACATATCAAAAGAAACAAGTTAGTAAGCATTTATAAACAGCTTTATGTACATGCAAAACTTTAAATAAACTGGTAGGTAAATTATACTTAACAGTATATGTTCATAAAAAAATTGTGAAGAAAGTTATGCAACTCCCATTATAAATGAGCATAAGAGGCACAATTCACACAAATTCCCTAACTGTGCATCTACCACACACAAGTATTTCACACAGGCCACATTTATCTGAAGTTAAATTTTTATTGCATTTAGCTATAGCACTGGATTCAGGCTGGGATGCTTGGTACTTTGCAGTTTCTCAAACGCATTTTTGTTGGAAATCTGAGATGAAATCTCTCCTACTTATATTTTCACAAGTGCATTCCTTGTACAAAACAAAGGAACTTATGGCTGCCAGATCCATAACATTGTAAAATACAGCAACTGGCTGTCAATGAGAACTGGCTTTTACTGCGTACTGATGTGCCATCTGGTCTGACAACATCCACTCTGTACTTTGTCTGGTTGTAGAAAACCACAATCTCCAGTTTTTTCTCCTCAGTAGTGTCAATGCCAACTGACATATGAAGAGAGCTGAGAATTCAAACATTTTTCCTTGACTTTCACATGTAAACAATTAATGTAGCAAAGTCTCTGTGTTTCAAAATTGTACTGGTCTACAGCTCTGGATTTGTTCACCATTCCAACTACACTATGTTTATTTCTGCAACTCTTTTGCCAGTTTAACTTAAGTAAAAAAAAATTGTCTGTAGTCACATTCCCTTTTCATAAGTATGGTGTGATCAACTTGATTACCACACTGTCTGCCAGCCTCTGAACAGCTAGGTGTGTTTCATCTTTGCCCAGGTAGGAAAAACCATTCAAAATGTATTTTGAGGCAATGTCTACTGCCAACCAAAACTTTATTTCAAATTTGTTTGGTTTGTTGGCTATGTATGGTGTCCAGCAACACCATGCTTTTGTGGGAAACAACTGCTTTTCCACAATAATGTTCTCTTCTGCCTTCTAGCAGACAATGCTGTTTTAAATGAAGCCTTTCCAAATTTCTGATGCTAATGCAAATTTGTCTGTTTGGAGTTGAGCACTTCTTGTCACACTTAAGTCAAAATGCAAAATTCTCGATATTTCTCAAAATTGATTCCTTGGCATTGTTTCTGTAAAGAGTAATTCTCCATTATGCAAACCAATAGCTTTCCAGGTAAACACTTTTGCTACCAAAGACCCCACGAACATATAGTAATGCAATAAATGCTTGTAATTCTACAACAGATATTTTCCAGGAATCACTGAATTGTACCCTATGCCCATCTGCTTCAATACATTACTATATTTACATTAAATACATTAGTATTTGCATATCAGTCAATAAGTGAACATCATTGAGAGGACTATCAATGTTGCATTTTGCCCACTGTGTTGGACCTGAAGTTTCTCTCAAAACATTTTGTGTAGCCTCAACACCAGGATTCATATTTTTTCTTGAATTGTTCCATCCTTTCCAATATCCTGTGTACCAGCTCACACTAGTGACACAGCTGGAGTTGCTGTGGTTGGTACTGTACTGGGCAAAGTGGCTTGCATTGCAGAGGATTATCCAGGACTGCTACTTCTCTTACTACCTATTCTGCATCTGAAGAGTTGTTTTGGTGGTAGTGGCACATTCCTCACTTTCACTTGGAGGACTCTCTATTTCACAAGTATAAAGCACAAAAATCTGTATGTTTGTTTGTTTGTCCCTTTTCTAACTACTCCTAGGTCACTGGGCCAGTCTCAACCAAACTTTGTGGGATGATAGTTTGGAACAAGGGGAATGTTAATAGGGGACTAACAACTCTCGCCACCTCCACCAGCTGTTATTGAGCTTTTGTTATATTTAATATAAGTTAACATTAACTACACACATAGATGGTAACATGTCCTAATGCAAAAAAAATTATTCAACTTTCTAGAACACAACATACACAAAGTGTTGGGGAAGGCACACAAATGCGTTATATATCTCTATAGAGGAATGCAATGAAAACAAATGGCCACCACTATTGCAATAATACATAAACTCAGATGAAGTAGATACTACAACAGTCACTGTAAAACTGATTTTGAAGAGCAGTTTCTTGAGTTATACCCACTTCTTATTTTGTCCCGTAATTAAGACACTTCTGCATCCAATGACTGTCAATTAATTAATCATTTGAAGCACTGTGGAAGGACATTAAGAATTGGGTGTTGAAAATGGGTAACAAAAAGCACTCCAACCACCACCACTTTGGCTGCTACCTCTTAATACAAAGTCACCCTGATCATTGCATAGTGTATATCATGTTTAAAGTATATACATATTGAGTTCTTAAACCTTACACACACATAAAATGTTGGGGAGGTAAAAATGAATGCTGTAATAACATGTTATGTTATAAATAAATTGTGTGAAAGTTAGGATTTTTGTTATTTATCATAGCATTCACCCTCACATTTTTTTTTAAGTTGTAGCTTAGAGAAAGGAAGGGTATATAAGCTTGTTATAAAAAAAAAGCATATACAGAGCAGTCAAGTTGATGGGTCTTTGGTGATTTTAGGTAAAAGTGATCATAGCTTTTTATTTTTGTGATTTTTCTGTCTTTGAAACACTATCAGTGTATTTAATACATGGATTTAGGAAAAGTCATGAATGGACAACAGCATATCTTTCATACATGCAAAGATATTTAAATTTTAAAAGTGAATTAGAATAAATAAACAAAAACACTGATTACATGGTTTCTAAGTGGTTTTTCCTTAGTCAGAACAGCTGATGTTTTGTTGATGCTGTTACATGCATAATAGCACTTTGTGAAAATGGGTAAACATTTTAAACATCTTTTTCTCATGATTACTTAAAGATGGGAAATAACACTGTAAATCAGTTAAATGGTAAATATTTGTATATCATATGTGACAATTGGTCATGCATCAGTTTTCTATTAGTGGTCAAACATTGATACTGTCTTGAGTTTGGCCAATGTATTATTAAACGTAATTCTTTACAGATTAGCATGGTAACTGTAATCAAAAGTGTTAAATAAAAATTCCAAGGGCCAAACATGAATAAATAAAAATTTAAATATTCCATTTTCGGTTATGGATACTCTACAATCAAAGAGGCTCTATGTGACTGTGCCATTCAGAACTGGCTAAGGCCATCCTTACTGTTAAGATAGCTTCAGATAATATGCTATTTAACAACTGGTAGATATTAACATTTCAGTTTTGGAAGTTTTTGTTTTTTCAAAACATTATCATTCTGATAAGTTTTATTTGTGTAAAACATTCTAAGTTTATCCAGTATAACAGATATTTTCAGTTGCATATTTTGAAATGTCAAATCCACATAGTTTTCATTATCAAGTGTATTTAGCTTGCTCTGGTATGTTGTTTATGAAATTAAAGTACTTTTTATTGGGCAGCCAGCAAATACTATGCAAGTACAATGAAAAAATTGTGTAATTACTAACCCATGTGCCCCCGGTAGCTTAGCAGTAAGTCTGAGGGTTTTTCACTGTAAAAGTTGGGCTTCAATATTCGTTGGGGACAGAGCACAGATAACCCATTGTGTAGCTATGTACTTAGCATCAAACAAACAAAAAACTAATTCACAGTAACTAGTATAAGATTAAAAGCTTACATACAGGTTTAATGCACTTAGATTTAATTAAGGCTTAATTATCCTTTCCATTTAACAAACCAACTTTAAATGTACAACGGATTTCATAATTGAAGGTTATAAAGAATCGGTCTTTATCACGACTAGTTAAAGGTATCTTAAATATATGACACTGGAAGTTCTCTTACTCTGTAAACCACAATTTAAGTTTCCAGTAACATTGCTTGACTCCATTTTTTACATTGTTAATCTATTTCTGTACAAATACATTTTATGTATTTTGTACTTTTCAACTTTAGTTCATTAGCTGTGTTTTTGATGCTTAAAATTTTTTGAGATTGTAATTTTAAACCTCATAAAAAATTTAGAGATTTTTACTAAGTGATGAAATTAACTTCACTAATGAAACTCTACTTGGAAAGAAAGTGGCTGTGTCAACATTTATCAGCTAGAAGTAGACTTAAAAGATACATATATATATATAAAGAGGAAGTTTGTTTATTTTGTTCGCTATAGGAAACCAAACAGTTGAACTTACAAATTTTAAAATAACTTCATAATAACCAATTTTTTACAAGAAATTTAATGGTGTTATTTATTTTATATTTGGTGTAGTATTTAATGACGAAATTGACAATTAATGATTTTTGTGCCATTTTTTTGTAATAAACATACAAATATAAGCATGTTTTGCACATAGAAAGCATTATGGCGGGAGACACTCAGATCACCTTGCTGTCAATTCAATATTTCCAAGAACAGTTTTCTTTAAATAGTGCTAAGTGGTTTCATAAATGATTTAGTAACTTTATGAATTGCAAATTATTGTTTAGTGATACGGGTGATTATGCCACCCAAGAAATGCCCTTTCTATGAAAAGTATTCTGCCACTAAAAGAATGCAAGCACAAAGAGCAGCTGAAACTTCAACAGACAGTACTATTATATTTATATAGATAACATACAACAGACAGTACTATTACATTTATATAGATAACATACAACAGACAGTACTATTACATTTATATAGATAACGTACATCAGACAGTACTATTATATTTATATATATAACATACAACAGACAGTAAGTACTATTGTATTTATATAGATATCAATAATTATATAGTTCGTCAACTAATTCAGTTCTCACACACTTTTCTTACTTGTGATCTCTCTGTTTGATTTGTCGGCATCTTTAATCATCAGAAGTGGGAGAGTCCATTGTTAATAAATAAACCACTCGTCAGGCACGATGTTATTGGATAAGAAAAGTAGCAGGTAGACGTTCTCCGAAACGTTCTTACATGAAAATCGCTAAGTAAACGTTTACAGATACTGTAGAGAATTTGAAAATAAACTGTTAAGAATGTACAACAAAGTAAAGTAATGGGCAGTGTTTATACAGCCCACAGATCCAAGTTGGTGATAAAGAAAAGGCTAATAAGATTTGTCTTGCATAAAAATTAGCTCGGGGGTCTACTGACATCACTTAGTAACAATACTTATGCTTAATTATAGCTTAATTATATGCTCTGTTTCTTGCTCTCTGTAAGTTATTTGTCTCAATTTTTGTACTTGAAGTCTGGTTTGACGTTGTTCAGAAATCTCTTGTTGTCTATATCCAGCTTGCCTTGATGATTCCGACTGAACTCTGGCTTTGTGCTGTTCAACAGTTTCTTGCTGTCTTTGAGTAGCCTGCCTTTCAGCTTGAGCTCGAAGTATAACTTTACGTTGTTCCAAAGTCTATTCCTGTATTTGAACAGCCTGTCTTGCAGCTTGTGCTTGAAGTCTTTGATTGTGTTCTTCTTCTGTTGTATGTATCTATATAAATATAATAGTACTGTGTGTTGTATGTATCTATATAAATATAATAGTACTATCTGTTGTATGTTATCTATATAAATATAATAGTATTGTCTGTTGTATGTGTTATCTATATAAATATAATAATATACCAGCCTACCCTATCTAGCAAATACTAGAGCATTCGCCAAGATACGGGATAGATCTAGAAACAAGAGGGCGTGAGAATTTTCACGTGATCCCGATGACGCAACAGATCGGTACGGCCCTAACGTTTACTAGCTGCCTGCCCTCTAGTTTAGAATTTCAAAAATAAGAACGCTAGCATATGTAGCCCTAGAGTATCTTTGCGCGAAATTCAAGAAACAAACTGAAATTCACGTTTGGGCGAATTAAAATAAATATATATATAAATAACCAGTTGAATAATAATGGATAACTAATTATGACGATATATGATGTTACTCAAACACCAGCCCTCCAGTGGTTCAATGGCTGGTCTGAAGGCTTATAATGCTAAAAACCGAGTTTCGATAACCATGAAGAAATTAACGAAAATACAAAAAAAAAAGAAGTATTTTAGACTAGCTGGAGTACCCGTCCCCTGGACGGATATTTTGTAAATTCATGATTAATGAAAGGTTATATTAGGACATGAAAAGTTGCTTCCCTTATATGTAATTGTAGAAAACGGCCATAAAAACTCCAAAACACAAAATGTGAAACCGCAAATGTGCATGCATCTCCGCATGGACCCAACAAACCGTCATATCAAATGTGGTGAAGATCCATCAACAGGAGGTGAGGTAGTGGTAAAAAAAAAACAACTGAAAATGTGTATGTACCCCCGCATTGACCTAATGAACCTCCATACCAATTTTGGTGAAGTTCCATCCACACCCTGTGTAGTAGTTACATGGACACACAACAGACAGTACTATTATATTTATAAAGATACATACAACAGACAGTACTATTATATTTATATAGATACATACAACAGACAGTACTATTATATTTATATAGAAACATACAACAGACAGTACTATTATATTTATATAGATAACATACAATAGACAGTACTATTATATTTATATAGATACATACAACAGACAGTACTATTATATTTATAAAGATACATACAACAGACATTAAAGAGGGGAATGTAAGGTGGGTAGATAGATAGTGAGTAATTGAACTGCAGTCAGAAGTATTGTTGACGTTCGTTGATTAGTGTTGTTTTAGTGCGAGTATTGAGATTAAGTGTATCGCAGAGTTATATTCGGAAAGAATAAACCTGTTTTATTAAGTAAAGACTTGTGTCGTTAAAGTTTCGTTGGAACGAAGTTACGGAAAAATCAATTAACAAACGGAGACGTAACAATACGCTATAATTTACAACGAACGATTCACGCACTTACTTACTACCGCGCTTGACTGAATTGTCCGTCTCTGTCTGTCTGCAATTATATACAAGAATACCGCACATCTAGCAAACACTCGAGCATTCACGAACCTTCGAGAATATCATGACGTGTTACTAGAGTCACATGACTTCCGCTGTCGTAACAATAATATTAGAGGAAACATTTAGAAACAAATTTAAAACTTTAAATTTCACTCCAAAAGAACTTGACTTATTGAAATATGAGCAAAAGAACAGTAATACAATAAAATTCACCGAAATAATGGATATATAAGTAATCACATTTGGGTGAATTTCCTCTTTCTAGATGTCTGTTTGTAATTTGGTTAGGAAACATCTCCTAAGACCAACAGTAGTCAGCCATCATATTGACATTCCATCTTCCTTGATATCGTTCTTCCATGTATATTATGTCTTGATGGAACCTTTCACTTTGCTCTTCACTAATCGCTCCAAGGTTCTCATGGAAGTACTCCAAGTGATTGTGAAGGAGATGCACTTTTACATTCATGTTGCAACCAAGTTTTTCATAGCATTTCAACATGTGACTATCAATTGTTCTATATATA